ACTAAATGACCCTGTTTTACCCCACAAAAAGTCCTGTCTTACCCCACAAATGGTCCTCTATTACCCTACAGTTTATCAAAAATAGTTTTTAAATGAATATATTATTGTATAGTAATGGAGTATTTTGGTCAACATTTTTATCTTTTGCTCAAACTTCATTATAACTTGTTAGCTTTTTTAATTAGAGAAATTTAGTGCACTATTTTAAATTGCATAAAAGGGATATAGAAAATAGGGATGTCTATTCCCATTAGTGAGCTGCAGAACTATGTGCAAGATTGGCTGGGGGAAAAATCACTGTGTGAATTTGTGAAACATGAAAAATAATTATGATCACAACTCTGTGACCACTGTGCAGAGAATGGATGAATATTGCAAGATCTTTGGCGACGCTTCAGTAGCCAAATTTTCGCCTTCAGAGGATCTTGCTGACACATTTAGATTGAAATTCTTGCATTTAATATATTTCTCAGTCTTCGGCCAACTATTTAGAAAAAAAGTAAGGTTTCCGGTACGTTGGATGGATTACGACATCACGCAAATGTTTCATGATCTTTTCCAAAATAAGTACGCAAACTGTGTGGCTGCCTACACAGATGGGTCACGAGTAGAAGAACCCACATGCTCCACATCTGCTGCTGTGGTAGTCCCATCCAGGGAAGTTTCTCTCAACTGGAAGCTCCGCCCAGAAGTACAAGTATTGGAATCAGAACTATTTGCTATACAGGAGGCTCTCACTTGGGCCTAAGATAACCTTCTTTTGGATGAAAAATTTGTTATTTTTACTGATTCACAAAGCTCATTGTTTCTGATTAAAGATAGGAAACCTGAACACTACTTGCCGCTGGTTTTTAAAATTCAAGCCAAACTGTTGTCGCTGAATTCTTCCCATGCAACGATGCTCCAGTTTATTCCCAGCCACTGTGGAATACTTGGAAACGAAGCAGCAGATCTTGCTGCCCGAGAAGCACACGCCCTCCCGTATCGTACATTGACCACCCCGAGCAAGGAGGAGTTGGTGAGATTGATAGACGATGCGATCTCTGTTAGTTGGTGCACATCATGGCATCAGGAAATGAGAAGATCTGGAAAGGGGCTCTTCATTGCTCAGGTTAAGGACAATCTAGGCACATGGCCTGATGTACATCTACTCCATGCCTAAAACTGTGATCTACTTTACAATCAATGGGGCATAACACACCACATAACTTAACACAATATAACATATTAACATATATTATATTGTAACAAAATATTACCTCCACATTGTAACACATCGTATCATAACCAAGCTCATTATAATACATCCTTACACAAATCAACACATTGTAACACAACATAATGCCAGACATTGTAACACAACATAACACCACACATTATAATATGACGTAACACATCACATTATAACATAACTTAAAGCATCTTGATATATCACTATACCTACATTGTAACATAACATAGAACAAGACAACTAATTATACTATAACATAATATAGTAGTACACATCATAATATAATAAAAAAATTGTAACACAACATAACAGAACATAATATACTAATACATTTATGATAAGTTATAATTTGTTGGGTTATATTAGGATTTGTTGTGTTATGATGTATAATGTGTTATGTTATGTAGTAATGTTGTTATACTGTGCTATGATGTTTGCTAATTTTTTTCATGTTATGTTGTGCTATAATGTGTTTTGTTGTGACATGTATTAAAATGTGTTCTGTTATATTATGTTGTGTTATAATGTGTCCTGTTATATTATCTTGTGTCATGTAATGTTATGTTACAATGTGGTGTTATTTTGTGTTAATCTGTGGTGTTACATTATAATTTGCTATAATGTGTTGGGTTTAGTTATAATGTTGTATAATGTCTTATATCATGATATGTTGTGGTATAATTTTCTATGTTCTATGTTAATTTATAATGTATAGTGTTACCTTTTGACCTTATTACATTTTGATGAGTTTGGGACTTCCTAGTCCCAAGTCACATTGATGTGCAGCCTTTGTTATCCTCCAAGTTGCTGCTGGGCAGGTCACCCTGAACTCAGGACCTGGGTGTAACGTTGAACGTGTTTGCATTCTGTTTGCATTCTGTTTGCATTCTGTTTGCATGCCGTTGCATTCTGTCTGTTTGCATTCCTTTTGCCCAGCTGATGCAAGATGAAGTTGCTTGTCACTTGCTGAGGGTAGTTTCCCATAACTGGACAATGTGGGATGTTGCAAAGGTGAACTCCCCTCATGTCAGCGCTTTTGGCGAGGCATTAAAGAGCCCTGGTCCTGCCACATACAGTAATCCTTCACAAAAAGTCATTACTCTGGCCATGGCTTGGTTATCAGATTGGGGAAACCTGCACAGTCTCCCTCTCTTTTCATTGTAATAGGTCATTATTTTGAATGTCTCACTCTCAAAGTTAGGAGCCAGTGTAGTTATCTTCCAAGTGTACAGTATGATATACCTTTCTCTTCTCTCCAGTGAGTACAGTCCCAGGTGTTTCAGCCTGTCCCAGTAATTCAGCTCCACTTCCCTCATACCACTGATCCTGGTCTTGAAGGTCCGCTGGACTGACTCCAGTTTCTGCACTGCGCCCGCCTTGAGCGGCCACTAAAACTGAAAGCAGTACTCAAGATTTGGGAGCACAAGGGCTCTGAAGAGTGTAATCATTGGTGCTTCCTCTCATATTTGAAATGTCTGCCAGATCCATCCCATCCATTATCTGCTTTGTGCAACTTTTTCTTTGATATGGCATCAAACGATGCTTCGGTATGCATCAACACTCCGAGATCTTGAACCAATTTGCTTCTCCTCAATTTGTATGCCATCAGATGCCAAGTTGTGATGTGGCATCCTGGTCTCTGTGCGGACCCTGTGTCTCATTACTTTGAACTTTGTGCCGTTTAACTGCATATTGTTCACTAGGGCCCAATCATAGATTGTCAACAAGTCATCCTGTAATGTCTCGTACTTAGTCTAAGTCCTCTGTGATCTTCATCAGCACTCTTGCAGTGTCCGCGAATTACAATGTAGATGCATGGGTAAGCTCTGAGTTGATATTGGCAATGTGGAAAAATCCTCCGTCTTGGAAATGGCAAGTGCAAATTTTATTAACAATTATAAATTTTAAGTTTCATTTTAATTTATAAATGGAAGATGAATGTAAGTGAAAATTGAAATGTGAATGAAAAAGTGGAAGTGAAATATTATTTGGAATGAGCCTTTACTTGATTAAATTACTTTGATTTTAAGTAATGGCATTAGGGGAAATAGGGGTAGAAAGACTGGATTCTTTTCTATAATGGATCATGTTTACTGCTGGGCTTAACTGCTAATTTGAGCTTTTTTGACAGACTGAATGACAGTACATACTTGTGTGCCTATTAATTTTGGCCAATCATAATCAGAACAAAAACTATTCAAAACTTAAAGTAGAATCTGTATTGAGAGACTTGTTCATTACTGTTAAATGCAAGATTTTTCCTTGTACAAGATACTTTTCCTTATTTGAGATATTTTTCCGTATACAAGATTTTTCCTTATTTGAGCTAGAAATATCTTATGATTTTCCATAAATATAGTCAGATGGGGTAAGACAGGACCGAAATCACTAACAGACATGTAGCATCTATACCATGAATAACTAAAAAATCCTAAACTTATCACAAGGTGTGGTTATGCAATGGGCTTCAAAGCTACAACTCAGAATTTCTGCATACAACACAGTTTTCTGTACAGATTAAAAAAAGTGAGCTGGTCCCATCTTACCCCATTGGGGTAAGATGGGACCAGGCTGGGGTAAGAAAGGACCAACAGGTAATTCTTATGTTACAAGGTTTTTAGTAAAAAATATAAATCTGATATTCAATATTATGCATCTAGAAACACATTATTTGATTAAACAACCACTTTTTACTGTTTTGTGTTGCGGGAAGTCAACTCTAATATCAGTCACATTGGAGTTTTTGCCACGAGAGAACTTTGTTAAGAATAGAAATAGTAGGTTGGCTTTGATTCATTGTAGAGCAGTGCCAAATGCTACATGTATATTCCATTAGTGTCATTGTCTGAAAATTTATCAAATTGGTTATAAAACCAATGGATAATAACTTGAGTCAGACGTCATGTGTTTTCTTGCTAACTGCATTTGTGGTGCACTTCTTCAAACATAGCCCATGCCCTCTCACAAAATTGTGATAATTATTTTTTATGTTTCACACAATGATTTTTCCCCCAACCACTCTTGCACATTGTTCTGCAGCTCACTAATGGGAAGAGACATCCCTATTTTCTCTATCCCCATGATGCAATTCACAATAGTATGCTAAATTTATCTAAATAAAAAAGCTAACAAGTTAGAACGGTTATTTTAAGCAAAAGATGAAAATTTTGAGCAAAATACTCTATGTATACTTATGCACAATAATATATTCATTTAAAAGCTATTTTTGATAAACTATGGGGTAAAAGAGGACCATTTGTGGGGTAAGACAGGACCATTTATGGGGTAAGATAGGACCACTTGTGAGGTAAAACAGGATCATTTAGTGGTCCCGTCTTACCCCATGTCCGGTCCTTTTTTACCCCATTTTAGAATAGTTGTCAGGCAGTGATGGTAGCAGGTAGGAATGCCTAGTATGTCTCAAAAGTTGCTTACAGGGTTAACTATTTTGTGACCCTTCTTTACATAGGTTTTCTTTGAAAATTAGCCAGAAATTAATTATTTGCAGAAGAGGGTTGAAACAAACACTGAAATGACAGGCAATGATTGCTCTAACATATTCTTCTGTCAAATTAAATTCAGTGCAATTAGAATGCATGCCATGGGCCGGTCCTTTCTTACCCCATGAAGGCTGCGATCCTGTCTTACCCCATTTGACTATACTATTTTTAAGCTATTTTGTAATGTCATTACGTAATATTTTAAATCATACTTTGATAATTCTTGTAGGGTATTCTCCTTGTTTACCCTCTAACCTTCATTATTTTTCAGATTTATTTTTAAGAAAACTGGAAACTAGGATAATGGAAATTGATGCATTGTGAGCAAGTTTCTTGAAATGAGTACATGTTCCAGAGAAACATTATTACTCATTATGTGCCGGGTGATCCTGATATTTGACTCTAATGCTGATCTCTGTACATTTTTTGAGTCATTCAGTCATTTTTTGAGTCAACAATAGTTTTAGTAGTGATAAATACTACTTCAGAATGCTGCAATTAGCATTTCCCAGATTTATATTCTCAATTAAGACGATAAGCTTAGTGGTATTGTCCATGCAAACAACCACGATGGTGCTCATGCTGCGTTATAGCAGGACTCTCACTTCCTCTCATGCAACCCAGTCTGATGCTGAAGAAACGAGCAAACCAGACTCTGGTCACCACTACATTGTGTCAACTGCCATCTACATTGCTGAAATTCTCAAGCTCATAGTCTCCCTGTTTTTGCTTCATCTACAACATGGTAATAGCAAGCTTTGATTTAATTCCATAATCCTCTAGTGATATACTGTAATATTTCTTTGATGGTGAACATATGAATGAAAGAAATATCAATTCTTATAAGAGATCAAGGGGTAAAAAAAATATCTCAGTTAATTTACTTGTAATAGATGAATCCATAGAAAATAAATGGTTGTCATAAAGTAATATATAAGTATTCTGTATTTCTAAGTAGTATTTAATTCTATTGTCTTCTAATTTCCCTCTGAAACCTATTAGATGGAATTCAAATTAAACTATTATTGCCTTTTCTAATGGCAAATTTTCATGATCAGGAGTAATGGTTAAGAGATGAGCGAAAGCAACTTCCTTCCCTAATTTTAGCGCAGTCACCTCTTCACAGTGGGATATTTATTAATTGAAATTTTAACACATTTTATAATCTACTAGTGTAAACAGCTTTCTTTGTTTTGATACCTTTATTATTGATGGTAGGTTTCAAGAGAGCATCCACGTGTTCTGAGCTTCATCGAGAAGTGATGTGCAACGTCCCAGAAACTTGCAAAATGGTCATTCCTGCAGGCCTCTACTTGCTGCAGAATAACCTACTCTTTGTTGCTCTCTCCAACCTTGATGCTGCAACTTACCAGGTGAGTACTCATGCACAAACAAGAAACTAATACTTCTGTGTTGTATAAAATACAAGTTAGTGAAACATTTTGCCAAGAGTTTGCTTAATTCTTTGCTTATTATACCTGTTGGAAGGTATAGACTTGATACCTGTTGGAAGGTATAGACTGATACCTGTTGGAAGGTATCAAACAATAGGTTTCAAACTGTTATTGTCTTGTCTTTAAATTGGGCACAAGGAGACCATGTAAACTGGAGCCTAACTATAAGATCTGAAAGGCATTGGCTTTTATTTATAATGCTGGACTATGGGTATTTGGAGCAATATAAAGAATTATTTACTCAGTTCAAAATTCAATAATAATCTAACAGTTTAAACATCCATGAAAGGTGTATTAACATTGTTGCGGTCCGGTCAACAGGGGTTCAAAAAAGCTATGTGAAGATTAGCTCAATCACCCTAAGATTCAATACTTAGCTAAGCCTACCTCCAACCCTGAGAACAAATTTGGGACAATGAAACTGGTAATTCCCAAACAACACTATACTTAAACTAAGAACAAAGCCAAGAGCCATTGGTACAGGATAATGTCTAGGGCACCAAATATCCTTCACAGAATAAGCTAAGCAACCACCATCCAGGGGAAAATCCCTCAGGGGTGACTGCAGTATTGCGTTCAAGAGCCGAATTTTACAATATGGTCCAACTTTGCGGTAAACAATAACTTTAAATAAGAACATCCTAACCTGTGACATAAGGGAATCAAAATTACTGTAAGATAAGCAATAGCCTAGAAGTCTTGGTTGGCATGGAGACAAATAAAGGTCCTGGAAAGGAGAGCACAGTAAGAAATGGTGGTGATTCCTCAACAGTAGACTAGCACAGTAAGAGCACTCTTTACCTGGTCCATGGATCACCCTGATGTATAGCACTAATGCGGTGTAGTTACATCACTCTTTATTGCTACGATTAAATTCGAGGAAGAAACAATCCAAAGATCAAATAGAGCTTTTGAAATGTTAAAAGCAAACAGCCTAAAACTCCGAGCTCTAATTAGATTGTTTTCGTTCCTCAAACGAAAATTTTTGGTTAGGATTTAAACAAGCAATAATGCATAAATCAGCAAGAACACAGAACAAATGTCCAAGCAACATGGCAAGACAAGAAAAGCAAGCACAGTATGGCAAGGCAAACACTTGATTCGAGATCTAATGGTTGTAATGATTTAAACTCAAAGTAAAAGCAATCAGGTAAGTGACTAAAGCAATTCAAAACAGGAACAAGGTGACATTAAACAGGCAACAAAGTAATAAGCAAGCTTTATTGCAGTAAATTAAGTGCATGAGTTTGAGAAGGAAAGGTATATTATTATTCTTGAGTTGATTAAATCTTAGCAACTCACCCTTAGGGAGCAGCTAAGTTGCTCAGCAAGCAGGAACGGGTCGACAATGACTTCCAGTGTAAATGAGCTTCAGGCAATGGGTGCAGGTGAGGCAAGCAATAAGGTGCAGACAAGGATCACTAAGCGTGATAAGTGGTATGCTTACTAAACTTAACCAAGACTTTTAATAGTGCATGCTACACTTCAAACATGATAAGTCAGAAGCACTTGAACTTTTCAGACATTGCATAAAGTTGCATGCTCTAACTAGTGAATTATTGATGGAGAACAACAACACCTGAAACAAATACAAGGGAAGGAAACATTCATTAATGATACCAGTCACAAAAGCCCTAAATTAAATGGAAAGAGCAAACCATATTAGGAAGCATAAGCTAAAGTAAGCAATACACCAAAGTGCCAGGAATGAAAAGCAAGAACCTAATAATCTAAGATGAAGCATGAGGAGCAATATGCTCCTCTTCAACATAACAATTTAAATATCTGTGTAGGATGTTTTAACACACAAAATTTAGAATTCTATGTAGGGTGTATTAACAAAAGAGTTTGAATGATTATGAATCCCTAAATAAATTTACTACCTGGACATGGCAGAATAAATGTGTGAACGTCATGAATTTCACGTATAATTGCCTAAAGTATTAATATTAAATAGTGATTTTACTGAAGTGTTACAAATTAAAGTATGATTAGGCCTGTGAAGTTCACTGGCATAAGCATGGGTTTATTGGATTAGATTGAGGGTCTAACTGCAGACCAGCACTGAGGGCACTTGGGTAAGTACCTATATACTCGACCATGAAATGCAATTTGCGTGCTCCTTATGCATGCTTCCTCTGAAATTGGCTTGCTATGTCAGCAATTTGCTTTTTTCACTTGCTATTAAACTTATATGTGACATGTCCTCGAAATTTGCTTCAACCAGATGCCATGATAAATGCTTTGTAAAATAATAATAATAATGATTCCTGTAGACAACACGCCACATTCCACAAGGCTGTCACATCATATCGCTATCATGTGTTGCAGTCATCTCACACAATGATCATTAATTAAAGCTTTCTCTCCCTCTCTGTTGCCCAGGTCACGTACCAGCTGCGCATCCTGTGCACGGCAGGCTTCTCGTGGCTGCTGCTGGGGCGCCGCCTCTCTCTCACCCACTGGCTCGCCCTCGCCTGCCTCATGATCGGCGTCGCGCTCGTCCAGGTGCTGGTCAGGTCTTATAGGTCAAGCCAATTCATTTATCTTCCCCCAGTTTTGCCAAGTTTTTTTTCCACTTAAAACAGTTTCTCCGTATTTAACTTTTTTTGCTCGTTTGTTTTAACGCATTTTCTCATTTATGGAAAAAATACACTATTGTGCTCGCCATGTCCGTCTGTCCGTCTGTCTGTCCGTCCGTGACTTCACGTTTTTGTCGACGAGAAAATGCGCTCTCTGTCACTCACTGCAGTGAGTACTGAGTTATATTTTTTTGCCATTTGGTTCATTGCATTTATTTAGTGTTGACCTATGAACCCATAACAGCAACTTCTTCCATCAGGTGGACGTTGGGAGCAGCGCTGTAGCCAACGTTGGGGGCTCCACTCATTCCCAGCTAAAAATGGGAGCATCACAGCTTGGAAAAATCCCGTCTGCTGCGCTTCCTCCAGCCTTGAAGGCAGAGGTTCACCCAGTTGCTGAGTCAGATGTTCACCCAGGATCGGAGGGCGACATGCCAGAGCTGAAACTTCCTGAGTTGCCAGCTGCCCTTGATGAACTGGAAAATAATAACCCAAAGGAGGAGGCTGCACAGGAAGACGGCCACCTGAAGTCTCTGATGGACTCCTTGCAGCAACGTTTCGGTGGTGGCTTCAATTCAACTAAAAGCTCTGCATCTGAAGTGAAGTCACAAAACGAGATCCCCAGCAGGAGCAACGTGCCTTTAGGTGGCGTGGAAGCAGGCGTTATCCGTGCAGGGTCTGCAGCAGCTCACCTGCAGCTGCTGCACGACAAAGCGCTGCTGCAGCAGGCGTCCAGTAACCGTGAGGTGTCGTGGCTGCTGGGGCTGCTGGCGGTGCTTGTGTCGTGCATCCTCAGCAGCTTCTCGGGGGTCTACTTCGAGCGGCTCGTGAAGCGCAGTCGACAGACGTCGCTACTCATTAGGAACATTCAGCTCGGTAAATGACTATAAATTATCTGTTGGATGATCTGCTTGCTTGGTACTGCTCGGTAAATGATCTCTTTGCTCGTTACAGCTCGGTAAATGATCTGCTAAACGCTAAATGATCTCTTAACTAATATCGCATTGGAAATAACCCGTTAAGTATCCTGTTTACACATTAGTTAACACTTCTGGTTTCTTTTTTACGTTTACTTTGAATAAGCACATTAACAAGCGGTTCTTCGGGACTCAGCCGTGGCTACTTTCGCTGCTAAAATGGATATAGCGTCCAAAGAGCTCCAGCCTATTTGTGGAGAAAGTTTCCGTTGTTTTTTTTCGAAGGAATGAATGCATTATTTTCATAGTAATATTGAAATTCTACAAATTATATCTCGTTTAAGGTTTTGAAATTTTTCACTTGTACTTTGAAATAAAATTATAAGCCTTATTTCGTTAATTTGGCGTCCATGGGCGCATGAAAATGAACTAATATTGAACTGCGGCCCCTGGCGGAATTAGCATGTTAGTTATTTTATTAAAATTTGGGACAGATAATCCATGTGGCCTATAGTCTTATAAGTCTTAATGCCCCTGCATATTTAATGAGTTGAATGTTACTTAATTCATTCATTGACGCCATGAGCTGCATGTCCATATCAACTTGTAGCCTTAGCAATGAAGCCTTTCTAGTGCTCGTCCAATGATGAGTGTATGTCGGCAACTAAACTTGTTTGCCGTATGGTTTCATTATGAAGCTCTTAACATATAATATGTTCAGCTAATGATTAATGTGCAGCATTAGTAACGAACTAATAGGTAAGTTCTACTTCATTTGCTACTGAGTCAATGCTTGCGTTTACGTTAGTTTCTGTTGCTCAGGAATATTCTCGATTATGTTCGGCACGCTGAGCGTGTGCAACGACCACCGCGTGTTGTGGCGGGGAGGCTTCTTCCAGGGCTACACTTGGGCCACCTGGGCCGTCATTGCCCTGCAAGTGAGTCCTCATGCTCCAGTCGTACTCCACTTATGCTCCAGTCATGTTCCACTCATGCTCCACTCCTGCTTAACCCATACTCCACTCATGCTCCATTCATGTTACACTCGTGTTCCACTCATGTTCCACTCGTGTTCCACTCGTGTTCCACAACTTCCACTCTTGTTCCACTCACGTTCCACTCATGTTCCTCTCGTCCCACTCGTGTTGTATCAGGCAGTCATTGTCACTTGACCAGCCCTTGAATTAATTGATAATTTGAATAATTTTCATAACTTGCTTGTGAAACTTTGGACGGTCTTGTTGGAGTTAGGCGAAAAATTTTCTTTTATGCTTGGGACTGTTTCCCTCACTACAAGTGACGGAAAAAGACTTGAATGACATGTGGACGTTTCTACGTCTACGTTTTATTTCTGTCCCTTATGTTTGGTGCTTCTCAGACTATTGTGAAAACAATCAATATAAAAGACGCCATTAGTTTTGGCCACATTTGTCTCTGCACATCACGCATTACTCAATACTGAGGGCCTGAACATTTAGGTATAGTCTGGCAACTCTAGTTTCAGCATCTAATGACGACAAATTGTGAATGTCTGGCCCTCTTTCAGGATTTAGGTTAAGGTAGTTAACGTTATTATTTGGTCACTTCTACGCACTTCATGTATTACACGTGCAGGCTGGCAGCGGTCTCGTTGTGTCCGTTACTATGAAGTATGCGGACAACATCTTGAAGGTGTTTGCCACGAGCGTGTCCATCGTGCTGTCCGCCCTGTTGTCCACCTACCTCTTGGGCCACTCTGCCCCCACAATCCCGTTCATCGTGGGCACGGCTATCGTGCTGGGGGCGACATTGCTTTACGCGGTTGCCCCCACACCAGGAGCCGCTGTCTCGAAGCCATCCGAGAAGTCCACTCAGCAAGTGTCGCCTCTTAAAGAGACGAGATCGCCTCCTTCTTATTTACTTGTGTCGTCTCCAAGCGAATATAAGAGCCTCATTTCAAGGTCTAGGTCTACTGAACGCCTGCCTATCGCGTCTGAAGAAGACTGGGATAAAATGCCTCTAATGGCAGACCCGCGCTCCTTGTCTGTAGGCCCCGAGCGCTGCAAGACCAGGAGTTTTGCCGCAGTGTCGCTGCCGTGCTCCGCCACCTCGACCGAGGCTAAGGTATTATTGGCCAAGCTTTTCTAGTGCATGTGCAGCGTGTTCCTGTCAAGCATACCTCTGATGTCGTGCTCCCTTGTCTAACGCTACGGTAATGGAACTAAAGTACCGTTGTAGCAGTACCTACCACTTGGCGTTACGTCTTAGCGTCCTCCTAATTTATTTGATTGTCACTTACCACTAGTTTCGGCCAGCTTTGTTGCCCCCCTCCTGCTGATGTTTGCTTCGTATCTGACTTTACTTTGCAGAGCTGCACGATCTTAGCTTTTCACGTAATTTCAGTCAATGAGATGTAATTATCCCAACTTCCCAAGCTGATCTGAAGATCTTGACCCTCACTGCATTACCAACGGAGCATGACGGCTGTATGACTGCGTTTTTATCATTATTCCCCGTTATTGTTGTTATCTTTTAACTGCAGCTTCCATGTTTTCTTACTTAACACGGCTGTTGTATTGTCGTCTCTGCTTAGCCTCATAACTTGCATGCATTTGCTTATTTGCCTATTAAGAAGAGCAGACTCTAAAATTTCCGTTTATTAGGGGGCGTTTATTAAATCACTGTTGTGTCTTCAATGAGCCTCGCCAAAGATGAACGTTTCACTCTCAAGATGTAACTGTACATTCATATCTTTCGAATTTCGTGTACATAGAAGTTAGTGATTGTCTAATCAAATTCATCTATCCAAAATATCTCGCTAATTGAATAAAAGAAATGACCATTTTATCTTTGTGCACAAAACGATACTTTCTCAATGTCAACAAATGTTCATCAAGAATGAACGAATAAATCCGTTGACATATATACTCGTAGAACTTTTTCATTCTGCAACGAAGTGATTTTACTCTTAATGTTCCTAAATTTTTTATTAGTAAGCGCCCATTTCATTTTTAACGCATAATGCACGACATTTTTTTGGCCGTGTTTCATTTTGTATAAATTAACGATTTTTTCCAATCCGTACTTCTATTTCGACTGTGTGCTAACGGTAGGGGAAATTGAAGCTTTGTCTTCTCGGGAATTTTTTTCGACTTGAAAACAATATTTTTTATTCGTTTTAAGCCCGTTCGTCAAAAATTTGATGAGCGAACCTCTTTTTCATTTTTTGGAAAGATGCCAGTCGAAGAAACCTGTTCAAAAAGGAATGTATGTACATGTCGTATTCTGTATAAAATGCTGGTGAAAAATGAATGCAGTGTTTATGAATGGCCACTATTGATTCCTGAAAGCTCCAAAGTATTTTTATTTACTGAAACTGGAGTGTTGATGATCCTGTATAATTGTAAGGGAATAAACTGACTTTTATAAATGTTCGTCAACGTTGATGACACTTGATGTATAATTGAAAGAAAATACACTGCGTTCTGTAAACGTTTGTCAACGTTGATGATACGTGTTATATAATTGAAGAAAAATACACTGTGTTCTATGAACGTTTGACAACGTTGTTCATATGTGCTGTATAATTGAAAGAAAATACGCTGCGTTCTATGAACGTTTGACAACGTTGATGATACGTGCTGGATAATTGAATGAAAATGCATTCTGTTCTTGAACGTTAGTCAACGTTGACGATACGTGCTATTTAATTGTAGAAAAATACACTGCGTTCTATGAACGTGTGTCAAAGCACCCAAAACATTGGTTTCCTCTGATTCCCGCTCAGCCATCGCCCTGCTCACTTCCACCAATCCCTGCACATCTGTGCGCGGTTCAGCTTTTGTGTCGTCATCTCTTGTAATTTTCATGTTTAATTTACGAATTTGTTGAGTTAGTTTGACTTGAAACTCACTCTCATTTTTTACATTCTCAACTTAGTTCGTAAATAATTGAAGTATACTATGGTGCTACTTATCTATTTGATGTCAGTTATTAGTTTGCAGTTACCTTATGTTTCGTCTTTTGTAGATCAAGCGTCATTTTATTTGTGTACTGAATTAAACTGATGTGCTTTAACTTGGTAAGAACTTAGACTTGATTATCTTGGCTTTAGTAAATGTGCTATATTTATTTATTATTCACTATCATACAGCCGAGGCATTCTCCAAGCTTTGTTTGGTCCAAGATCGTCTCTCTTCCTCCTTATGTTTATGTTTAAATGTTTGCAGCTACCAATTGGAGCCACTTAGACCTGTGTTATTCATGGCTATATTTATATTAATACGTCTTATGTCCCGAGTTTGGCTCGCATGTACCCAGCTACTTGCTCCTCTCCCTCGTGCGCACGGCTTCTGCCCCCACGCCTGCCCTGGCTTCTCTTCTTCCTCAGCTGTCCAGTGTTGCTTTTATTAGTTCGTTATCAGGCGCCTTCTCTTATTGCTTTGTTTTACATCCCAAGTAATCAACGCAAACAAATTTATGTTGCTGATAAGTTAAATAGCGTCAAAACTGCTCAAGAGTTTAGTGTGATGTTTGATCAGTTATTTTCAGTCATGCAGCAAAGCCGGTTTTTATACTCCGGAATGAACGCATATGCTAACTTCAATTCTCTTCAAGAATCTAGTGCGCTTTAAGCAAATATTCTACTTTACAATTATAATATTTATTATTTATGAATTAGCATGACACGAACAATCCTCCTCAGCTTCTGATTTTTTTTTCAGCGACTAAGACATTGGTTTATAGTAAAGTCGTGCAAATTGTCTAAAATCAGTCTAATTGTTCGAGAAGTTTGATGTTAAATCATATCTTGTGTCACTGGAATGCAAGAAATATTCGATCTCAATGCCTGTCCTGTCTTTCTATGTATGTCTTCCATTGAATAGGAGTCCTATCTCTAATCTGTTGTATCTTTAATACTTTTCTTCCTTCTGTCTCTAAATTTTTATCCTTTCTTCCCCGTGTGATGAATTACGCTACTGTGATTATAATAATCAATTATCGCTCGATATCATTGAAATACCTACAAAGAATTATATACAAAAAACATATAGATATATATATACAAGAAACACATCCATCAATATAATAAAAACTTTTCGTCACGATTGTGATGATTAGTGTCGTTGAACAAGCCTACGTCTGATTCTCTGCTGCTCTCTTTGCAGGTCCAAGCAAAGGAAATGTGATAGTCAACAAACTTTTATTTTGTTTAGTACGGCAGTCTTTACCTGGTGATTTTGTTCTTTATTGACTTATAGTTTTACTCGATTTGTTATATCGACGTTATATTGTTTTTAATTTTTGCTGTGAAGCTACTCGAGTTCAATGTTTTATCAAGTAAGATTCCTCTGTCGAACCTCATAGTTATCATAGCGTTGATACTAGCGACACCCAACACAATTGATTGATCAATATATAATAAGAATTTTCTAGTGACGATAGATTTAATTGAGAAGCTTCGTTCAATCTTTCACAATCTCTGTCATGCCTTACCGCTTGAATAATGTGACGTCACCAATCACCTTTAGGTCATCCATCAAACTAAAGCATCATTTCATTAATTTCACTGATACCTTTAAAGTGAATTGTAATTGCATTGATATTGTACGGAAAACTAGCACTACAATCATTTCACTAATATTTTTAAAACTAAAATTATTTTCTATAAAAGCAGTCAATTCGCATTCAGAAACAGAAAGTATCGAGGCCAATTCCCGTGTCATGTAGAGGCTTTCCTGCGCTCTTATTTTTATTGAAGTCCGAATACTCGAAGTGTTCGAGACCTCGCGATGCCTTTACTTGTCGCCGCGTGTTGTACGCTTCATATCTGCACTCGTGATCATAACTGTCTCGTGTCGCGCCTTCCTCTAGTGTGCCATGTACGAGGCATTAATTACATTATTACCCTTACTTACTACGGCACCTTACGCTTATAAATAAGATTTCCTGATAGTTTGTAGCTCCTAACAATAAACATTTTCCTCTATTCAACTAAATCTTCGTCCCTGAAGTAACAATGAGTACGAATTGTTCTTCCTGAACACATTTTAGGGTTTAACATGATCCTCGTCGCCGAGGTGAATCAAATTTGTAGTTTTAGTAGCAAATTTTCATGCGAGTTAAGTGCAGTAGCACATGCTCTGTTGTTGCTGATTTCAGTGCTGTAATATTCTTCACCAAATGAAGTCAGAACTGTTTTAACTTATTTTAGTATCCCTGTATGAATATTTAAAGGTACACCATTCATTACATAATGCTTCGATGTGACCATTCTGAGAGCAAGATATCTAATGCTGGTGCTGTCTAGACCAGTGAATTCAAGATTCGTTTAATTGGTTAATTGTTGTGTTTATTCTAGTCATTATTATCAAATCTCGATAGGATGTCAGTAGTTTAAACGGCTTGTATCAGGCAGCGCTTCTTCTGCTGGAGATATAATCTCATTTTCCTGTTAGTGAGGGGAAGGTGTTGAGCGTTTTTCATGTTACCATAACTCACGAATTTCCAAGTTAGTAAACCTGCCCGTTACTTGTACCAAGTTCGTATCACTGGTACACATCGTGAGCTTTATCTTCACGTACTTTTAGTCGAGCTATGCTTGCCAACGTGAATGCAGTTCAATATTCGAATTAAGATGCGAGTGATGCTCACAAGTCTATTTATTTGTGGCCTATCTACAATAAATTACATGTCTTTCATACTAGATTTTTTTCTTGGCCTTGTTTTTGTACGAGTTGCGTTATGCGCAACAGAGAAACCAAACTAACAGCGATAGCTCTACGCTAACTGGTTGATCTTTTACTTGGAAATTGAATGCCTTGTATGGTTTATTGGCGGCAATAATGCAAACGACCACTGAAAAAAATTGGAATCTATCTCTTGGACTGTTGAGTAAACGCGCCTTATTTCTTATGTGGATAATGCCTGACAAAGATCAGTTAGCTGTGGAGTTGAATAGGTTTAGAACGCCATCTTCACCTGTCGTACCTGTGCCGATTTAATTATATTTATAGACCAACATTTTAAGGGGACAGAGTCGAACACTTCAAGTTGCAATAAAAAAATGAAAAATCTGTGCTAACGCGATTGGACTGGAGGACCAAATAGATTAGCTCTAGCCTGGTATATTTTGATCATAAGGTGCACTTTCTAATTCACGGGAGAATTGAGGCACTTATAAGCAGTGCTCTCTACTACATTGGCCTTGTACTTCGCGTTTCAGGTTTAATAGAGTATATGCTGTAATTCGACAAGCTACATAAACCTCGTATCTTATATTACACTTTCAAGCTTCTATTTCCTATGGTACACCAACGAACTCGCTGTATGGCGGTCCTTTGCTGACCGCCACTTCCCGCAAATGCGTAGTTAATTTGTCCTGACTATTCTGATTGAAGTAAAAATATAAGGTTGGGTCTCTACACTCTTCTACAACGTCAACAACTCGAATTTACGCTTAGCACGAACACGACGAGCCATGACTACAGTAGAGCTAACGCTTCTAAACATAGTATTAAAAGCAACCGATAGCTTCAGTGGAGATAATTCTTATATTGGAACTGCTCTAGTAGTTATCGTCCGCCTTAAATGCGGGCAAGAGTCATCGACGCAGACCTCAAGATATCCTATTAGCCTGATGTATGTTAGGATATGAACACAAGACATTATTATAATATTCTTTAGTCATCACACACGAGGTCACGGCCACAAACCCGACGCAGAAGTCATCCGCCTCGAGCAGGTCTTGGTAAACTTGTTGCTCAATGCATCATCGGCGCGTCGAGTACGAGCCGTGTTTCGTGCTGATAAACTTTCCATGCTACACAGGCGCTTAAAAACATCACCTTACATTATTATAATAAAATTATTTTCATAAAACTCTGCAAATAACTATCTCAGAGCCAGATTAAAATTATAATTCTATTGGATTTAGCGCACATGACGAGACTCCCTGCGTGTGATCGAATCTAACCACACTCGTGTTACTACCGAACGTGCAATCTCTGCAATATAATTTCATTAACAACCATTTCGGTAGCGCTCGCACGGAGAACAATGAGCGTAAGCATCGTAAGCAAATGTGATTTTAAAATAATTCTGAAGGAGAGCATGATCGCTAGTGCATCATCTTCCATCATCATGTCAATGCCGTACAATTTCTATCGCATCATACCGCTCCCACTGACCGCAACTGAAAGTATCCGCAGGCGGTGTTCTGTTCGAATCGCATCAAAGGAATTCTGACGAGCGCCACCTCGGCTGAGGTAGTGGCAGGTGACATCAACTTGGCCTTGAGATGTTTTACGAGTTATTTTAATATCAATGAATAGAAATTAAATCTGGTACAAGGCACGTCTAGTGAAGCAGCCCCCACATGTCCAACAAAACAAAACTAGAAATATTCAAGAAATTCGTGTGTGTTGCTGTACTGTAATTCGATGTTATTTGAGCGCGTATCTAGAATACAATTTGTGTCTGTAAATTACCAAGATAAAAATTGTGGATATTCTCGTGGGATACTGAGGTACTGCATAACGGAGGCTAAACTCCCTTCACTCTGTGAATATCAAAACGACTCTAGAATATCAGATTTCTATCCTCATTCAGCGACGGATTTGCTAGTAAGTATAGATATTCTGTACATAACGATAACAGATCTAGTCTACCCCGAGCCGCACGTAGCTTTGGGCGCGTGCCTTGCATTTTTCCGCACATACTCGGCACATTTTTCACTCAGGCCGAGCCTTGGCCACTCCTCCTCGAAGGCGGCGCGAGACCCGTAGCCTCCCATGTAGCCGTTGAGCCGCGCGGCGACGTGTGACGACATCAAACCCTCCTTGCTGGGGTCCAGGTCGAGCATGTGGCACAGGCTGGGGTGCTGCTGCAGCAGGTACTTCTGGTGGTAGCTGAGGGGCAAGGTACAGCCGTGAGGAAGCTTGTTGCAGTCCTCGTTACAAGAAAGTTCTCAATAATTTAGGCGAGCATGATGTGGTTAATCAGTGGAAAAACGATTACGGGAAATCAATTTTGCAGAGGAAGAACGTACATTGTACATGCTCATCACATAAAGGGGCTCCATAGGATAACAATGAATACTGCCATCCTGTGCATAAGGTGAGTCATTAGGATGTAAGTATGAGTGCAGCAAGCACAATGGATAAGTTCAAGTTTTCTAGCGGGAACTGCGCTGCTTTTGAACTGTAAACTAGGCTCAGAAGAAGTCCAATAAATTCAATGGATATATCGTGAGTGCGTGCTTACTGAACAACTATTCATTAAACCACTATTAGTACCTATCAGTTTCTCTCCTGAAAAAATTATAAAAATATAAAAAAAGTGAATTTAGTAGTTTGTAAAATAATTTTGCATCAACTTCAAACTTTTCTCATTAAAAACTGGCAAAAGACATTTGAACTGAAACACAGGCTTGATGTTGGAGAACAAAAAAATCACCACCCTATTTCTCACTCTTCAGCATCATAGAATGTGGAGGCAGGAAGAATGGCGGTCGTGATGGGCTTGGAACGTTTCTTCTGCTCAGCGGCCATTGTCTGCTCAGCGAGCTGCTTTTGCTCCTCATCATGGTAGAAAATTGCAGACATGTACTGCAAAAACGGGGTTCTATATAATTTTATTCTCCAACTTTCACGAATCTGCTCACTGTTTCAGGAGAGATAGACAAGTTTCAAGATGATTCTTTTTCAAACATTGAGAAGAGATTGATGAGAAGGAATATAAACTGAACCAAAGCACAATCAAGGCAACAAGTAATAAGCACCAACAAGTTTTGGCTTAAAAAATACATACTAGGGTAAATAACAATGGCTTAAATTCATATAAACGTAGTAGGAACTTTTTGTGTGGTGCAATTATCCATGAATCAAAATGAAAAAGGAATCCAGGAAAAATGTATGTGGGTCTGGAATATATTAAGATATTTAATATTTAATAGCGATGAATTTTGTTCAAAAACTTGCATACAGACAACCTAGCACTGTTTGATTCGAAGTTATACACCATTCACTCAAGAAAATCTAGGCATGATCAATTTGACCTGCTTGGTTTACATTGCCAAGCATGGAAATATAACATTTTTTCTCAGTACATATCATTGAACAGGAGCGTGCTATGCGCAGTTGATCTGAAAGTAATGATTGAGGCTCACTTGACGTGGCAGGTTCCCAGTTGGCTCATGGTTGTGCCAGAAGACATCGAGCAGCTCAGAGAAGTTGGTCTGTGATGGATCATAGTCGACCAGCACCGACTCAGTGTGATCACCACTGAAAAAAATCTCATGGTTAGCAATTGTTATTGTTAGATAATGAGAGATGTAAGCTATGATTAGTTCAGCTCGTCAGATAAGCTGTAAATATCTTAAGCTAGAAATGTTTATTACGTATTGCAATGCATGCAAGTAGAAAAATGGATTAGATTGCATTGCATTAGGAACAGAGGTTGACATGCATGTGTGCTAGTCATATGTGACTTTTAGGTCTAAGCTAGCTAAGGAGGAAGATGGGCAGAGACGAGACCATAGGTTTGGGGAACTTATTTGGTGGAATCTGGTATACAACTGAAGTATAAAGGCTTGCTGGCCATACATGACCTACTATTGACAGCATTGTAGTTCTACTCTAATTTGATCAATACGTAAACACGTAACATCTCCCCTTCAAACAATACAAAGAGGGCGCAATGAAGTAAATTAATTTCCTAATTTTGCATAGTACATCAATCTAGATGTAGACCATTACAAAGACATACACAAAGAAATAACAGACATTAAAACTATTGGTAACGTTGCGGTCGCCTTATGGTTCGTCCGCTTCTCGACTTCACTTCGGGAGAAATAGCTTGTTCCGTAGAAGTTGTTGGTAGAGTTGACGTCGACGGCGATTTCGGGATGGTAGGAATGTTCTTATTTTCGGTTTTGGTAGGAGACTGTTTATTGGGTTCTTTGGTTGTTTCCGAGATGATGGACTGATCTCTTCGTAAATGCTGCCTGTTGCGTCTGAACTGTTTTCCTTCATCTGTCTCGACGTTGTATGATCGGCTGCTGATCTCTTCCTTTACTATGGCTGGTTTCCAAATTTCTTCATTTCTCAAAGGCTGCATTCTGACTGTGTCATTTGTTTTCAGCGGGCTAAGCTCCTTCCTGTCTTTCGTTCGGTCGCCTATTTGCTGTTGTTTTCGTTCTCGTTGTGCCGTTAATTTCTCCTGTTCCGGAGCATCTGGTCGTAGTAATGATGGGTTTGTTGGAATTAAGGTCTTGGTACGACGTCCCATCAACCGTTGAGCTGGACTGTACGAAATTCCTTCTTGTGGGGTGTTTCTATAGCTTAGTAGAGCTAGGTATGGGTCTTCTTTCTTGTAGTGACATTTCTTCATAAGGGTTTTTGCAATTTTGACTGCTGCTTCTGCTGCTCCATTGGATTTGCTGTTTCCTGGCGATGAAGTTTCATGATGGATTTGGTACATTTGGCAGAATTTTTCAAATTCGTTGGAAACTAATTGTGGGCCGTTGTCGCTGACTATTTTGTCGGGGATGCCGTATCTTGCAAAGTGCGCCTTTAGTTTACTGATAATATTGTTCGAGGTCAAGTCATCCTTCAAGTAGTCGACTTCAAAGAATTGGCTATAATAGTCAACAGTTATGAGGTAGTTTCTTCATTTGATTGTAAAGATGTCTATCCCTAAA